AGAGAGAGAGATACATGTGTGTGGGAGTGCAAGGGGGTTGTGTGTTTACATGTTCACATATTAATAAACATCTTTAAAAGCCCAGGGTGAGATCTGTTCTCGCCGCAGATAATGGTTATAAATGCTGCAATACTTCATGATGTATTAATAACTGGGTCCGCAGCTGTAAACCTGCAGGACAGATGGCCTCAATACCTCTCTTTGCTGCTCAAGTCATTAAACTCACATCTCATTTCCAAATCATTAGCCCAAAACTTTCTGTCCCCTCATTCTCCCTCTCCTAAAATCACCGCACAGCTGAGAGAGTCCACGTGTTTTGATCAGCGTGTAACAAACACACATTCACTACACAGATGCACAACAAACTTGTAGTTGAAAGCGTGATTAAAGTCTGATGCTTTCTTTCATATCTGGAAGAGTTTAAGCAGACTAAATGATTGAAAATGTTTTGCCTAAAAATTACAAGGTTAAAAATGAAATATGCAGCATAGATTAATTGCACATAATAAGATAAATATAAAGATATATACGTATGTCCACTTTATCCATATACATACAGTACACTCATATAAAGTGATATATACTACATAGCAAATCTCAGCTGCTTGATTCTTTATATTAACACAAATTGTAAGTTAGTCTTTATTATTGTCCAGCTCTAAATTGCATGATGATTTTAATATGTTATAAACATTAACATCAGGAATTTCTGTAAAGCTGCTTTGAAACAATGTGAATTTATGGAAGTTTGTTTCTGCCACGGGACAAAAATAAAGGTTATTGCGAGTTTATAGCTCACAATTTGAGCTTTTTTCTCAGAATTGCAAGATATAAACTCAGAATTGTATGATTTTAACACAGAACTGTGAAATATAAATGAGCAGTTCTGAGTAGAAAAGTCCAAATTGTGAGATATCAACTCACAGTTGCGAAATAAATTAGAATTGTGAAATAAATTTGCAATTACAGAACAAAAAAACTTGAATTGCAAGAAATTCTGAGTTTATATTTTGCAAATTGTAAAAAAAAAAAA